GAAAACGATTCATTAAAAAAAACCGGTGAGAGGATAACATAAGATGTTTTTTTCAGCATATATTTTAGGGATAATAGACCAACCGACTTGGTAGGTTTCCGAGATTCGAGACACTTGAGGACATCGTTTGTATTAAGACTGGAAAAATAGTCATTATATGCTGAACGATATGTGAAAGACTTGTTAGGCATACGCCAAACGAGTCTTCGGTATACGTGCTGAGATTTTATCAACGATCAACGCCCTGGGGTTTCAGAACTACAGCCTACTATCCTCATGCAAATGGTGAGCAAGAACTGTACACGGAGTGTTGAAGGCTGTGTTATCGGCTGCGAATAAATCAAATTGGAGTGATTCACTGGTGTCAGCCCTCCATGGCACACGAATCGCTTCAAAATCTGATGCCGGCTGTCATGTTGCTGGGCTGGTATTTTGGATAACACTGTGACCCTTAGCTGTGTTTTCTTCACCTTCTAGTTGCTTACCAGTCATAGACCATACCTCATGCGTCATCAGGCTCATAAATGCAGTGACGTCATTTGGAACTGTAGGGCCTCCGCAACACGGTATTATATGGCTACTCAGATGTAGCAAATGATTGAGAAACTCAGGAGGGTAGAAAGAACAAATAAGTAGGGACTTTATCTTGTTTATGATTCGTAAGGCTTACTTTATGGAATCATGAATGCCCTTCCATTTATTTGTATAGGTATGCCCTTCTTCAATCGCCGTTTGCTATACTTTCATAAATAAAGGCTCATAAACACAATTGGTTTTCTACAGTATTGCAGGTCCTCGGTCATTAATTTTTGTAATGTTCTTGACAGAAAAATCAGTTTCTAAAAGACTCCTCCCAATGGACCATAGGTGTGTTTTTCAAACATGTTTTAAAATGTCTTCACATGATTCTGTACATCGTCAATATGATGGATCATTTTAAGTCATTGATCACATAGTCGAATTCAAGACTCTATGTAAAATGAACCAAGATAACTGCATTTGTACCGATGGTCTTGAACTGACCTGCTTAGAGGGAAATTCTATGAACTCCGAACCGTTCGTCCTGAACGACACCCAAATGAAAAGAGTTCTCAAAGCACCTCCATACTTCTTTTACAGGGTGAGACAAAAATGCCCCAACTTTTTCCGAATAAGAGATCTCTTGTGCTTATGTCATTTTCCCTCATTTATTTGGATTGTTTCTCTCACCATTCCCAGTCAAGAAAAGAATCTTCTTCATATCATTCATTAGCAGGCTCAATCCTGGTAAGTCCAGTGGCCCTGATGAACTCCACCCACTTATATTAACAGCATTGGCTGAAAACAGAGCCGAGCCATTGTCGGTAATCTTCATATCACCAATGTCTCTGGACCAGTCTAAATGTCCAAGAGACTGACTGGAAAGATGCCATCATTAGTCCGGTCTTCAAAACCGGATCTAGAAACTTAGTTCAGAACTATCGTCCTGTTAGTTTGACCAGTATTGTTGTTAAACTACTAGAAAGAATAATTCGTGATGCTATCATTCAGTTCATTGAAGGGAACAAACTTTTCGCTGTGGAACAGCATGGTTTTAGAGCAGGTCATTGTTGCTTGACCAACCTTCTTTTGGCCAGAGAAAGTTGGGCAAGCTCAGCTGATGTTAATATACCGGTGGATGCCATATTCATCGACCTTAGCAAGGCGTTTGACAGGGTTTCTCATTCAGGTCTTCTAGTGAAGTTAGGTAGTCTGGAAATCAATAAAGTGGTTTCCGACTGGATTCAAGACTTTCTAAAGGACAGAAGACAAAGAGTACGAGTTAACGGGGTTTTATCAACATGGGAATCGGTTAAGAGTGGCGTTCCTCAGGGTACAATTCTAGGCCCACTTCTTTTCCTGATTTATGTTAATGAGATTCCATCGGTAGTTAAGTCATCCTGCTTACTGTTTGCTGACGACATCAAGATATGGAGGGCTTTACACGATGACAGTGATCAACTTGCTTTGCAGGAAGATTTAAACTTGTTAAGTGATTGGTGGAAGCACTGGGCCTTGGAGATTAACTTAAGCAAGAGTGTAGTTATGCATGTATCTCATAGTCACGTGCACAATTACTCAATGAATGGCATTACTCTCCCAGGGGTCACTGAGTACAAGGACTTGGGAGTGGTTGTGCAGCATGACTTGAAAACAGCAACAAACTGTAGAGCTGCAGCCACTAAGGGTTTTCGAATATTATGGGCCATACGCAAAGCTTTTGCGAATTTTGACGCTGAAATATTCCGTATATTATATCCGACTTGTATCAGACCTCATTTGGAATATGGGATCCAGGCAGCGAGCCCGTGTTTCAAATACGAAATAGACTTATTAGAAAGGGTGCAAAGAGTAGGAACTAAGCTAATAAAAGGTTTCTCAACCCTCTCATATGAAGAGAGGTTAAGTCGACTGGGTTTATTTCCACTGTCATACAGACGACTTAGGGGTGACCTAATACTAGCATACCGTATCCTAAGAAATGATTTTGGAGCAAATTTATCTAATTTATTTCTTCCTTCTAGCACCAACCAATTGCGAGGACATCACTTCAAGGTTCAAAAACCACGGTCGAATCGTCTGCGTGTGGAGATCCGTTTTTCGCATCGGATTGTGAACCATTGGAACTCCCTACCGGAACACGTCGTATCAGCGCAATCCGTTGATTCATTCAAGGCGAGATTGGACCTCCTGTGTGTAACAAATCGAAAGGATTAACACAGGCATATAGCCTACTATCCTAAATAAATTGTATTCTGTAAACTGTAAAATGTCTGAGAGGTGAAGGATTTGAATGGTTATCGAATATACGCTTTATAAAAACGCAAGTGATTATCTTCAAACTCCCAAGCCTATTACCCGACTGTGACCAAAGACGAATCAAAATGGTAGATTGACCGTCTAAAACATGAGATACATTTCAGGAACAGAATCATACAAAGGACGATAACTGCTTGATAATATAGAGCTCCTGCACGAACGAGTCATGACAGCGTGTCAAATGGCTTGGATGCAAGACCGCTTAGCTTCACCTAAGTGAATCAACTTAAACAGTGAATGTCAGCATCCAGTGTTGATATAGGAGTACTGTAAACGAATAATTATTATTAACCTCTGTAGTCGATTCCCTCCCCAATGGGGTGGTGTGGACCCTAAGATGGAATGAGCAAGAGATAAAACTCTGAAGACTCCACCATAAGTAGAACTCTTCTGATGGTTACGATGACAATGGACTATCTTCTGGTCGTCAGCGTACACTAATGTGTTGCATGCACAAGGATTCCTTAAATGTTCGTCAACTGGTTCTGGTGATGTTTCGCCTCTGGTTCAGAACGTATCGCAACCGGAAGGAGAAACAAGAACGCTGAGGATTGTTCCAGTAAATTCCTAAATGTGGGTAGTTATGTGAATGCTGACGGATGTGTGACATATGAAATGCCTGGTAGTATAAGAGAAGGCAAAGTATATGGATACCTAGGCCATTTCTGGCGCTATCGCAGTGTCAATATGGGAAAAGAAAGGTTATACAAATTGAAAGACAATCCCGGTGTTAAAAGAGTGAATATTTTAATTAAATCAGAAATACAGAGATTGAATATGATCTACGACTAGAAGTTGTTATCATGCGAAATCTTATCAAATATGTAGAAGCTGTTTAAGGAAATCAGCGGTGGTAAGGCAATATATAATGATCCCTCTTCTGTTAATGCTGAGACGCTTAACAAGTCTTTCACATGTCGTCCAGCAGACGTTATGATCTCATACTGCAGGTGCTACTTTCGTGTAAACAAGATACTAGGAGAGGGTAGATACGGGCAAGTTTTTGAATGTTTCGACTTATACACAAATTCCTTGACGGCTTTAAAGGCTTTGAAACCTCAGAGTGATTACAGTGGTGCTGCTCGCCATGAGCTTGAAGTCTTAGAATCCATTGCAAGACTAGATGCGAAGAATCAATCTCACTGCATATCATCAATAGACTTTTTCGAGTGGCATGATCACTTTTATATTGTTTTTCCTCTGCTTGGTCCAAGTGTTTTCACGTTTCTTGAGGAAAATGGTTATGAGCCCTATCCTATTGAACAATGTGCAATAATTACCCGACAAATTTGTGAAGCTGTTGCATTTTCGCATCGAAATAAGCTTACACATACAGATCTCAAACCTGAAAATATTTTGTTTGTCGATCGATGGCAGTTACGACGAAGTATTTGATAATCATCGTGGCAAAACTGTTCGGAGAATACGTCATCCATATATAAAAATTATAGATTTTGGGTCAGCTACCTTCGACAGTGATCACCACTCAACCACTATTCAAACTCGACATTATCGTGCACCCGAAGTCGTGATGGAGCTTGCGTGGAATCGGTCGGCCGATGTGTGGTCTGTAGGATGTATTCCATATGAACATGTAACGGGACGGTGCCTTTTTATGACACATGATAATCTGGAACACCTAGCTATGATGGAACGTGTGCTAGGAACGCTTCCTAAGTGTATGACAAAAGCATCTTGTCGACGAAGATATTTCCGCCATGGTCGGTTAGATTGGTCACCCACTTCATCTGAGTCTCGTTATGTTAGGAGAGCATTAAAGCCTTTGGGAGATTACTGGTGTTCTAGTTTTGTTCGTTACAAACGCCTAGCTTTTGATCTTGTTAAATAAATGCTTATGTACATTTCGACTGAATGAATTACCTTTTCAAAAGCCTCCTTTCATATCACACTTGAAATAACTTATCACCCCTCTACAATATGCCCCCTGACCATTATTATTATTAATACGACTACTATTTTGAGACTTATTTTTTAATAGACAGAAGACAATAGTTTTTTTAAGTTTATTTATGTTAAGGTGTTGTCAGTATAACTAATTGCAATAACCAATTCGAGTTTTCGAAAACTTTTATGTAAACAAACACTGAATAAAGCAATCGGGTTATAAGCCAAAAAAACCGTGCTATTATTAATCGTCATTATTAGTGAGATGACCGACCACCATTCTTCAGTCTCAGCCTTCGACGACGACGATGACGGCAAAATAAATTTTGCATATTTTCCAGTGGCGTGGTACTATTATTGGCAATATTTATTCGCAGTATCTTCATCGCTTTTTTCACTCTGAAAAAAATTAAGCTCAATTGTGAAAACTTACTTTTTAATTCTGTCTTCCACAAATTTGAGATTCATTACAGCTGGGGAATTCCTCAGTTCCAGTGCTCTTTCTATTACTCCTTGTGGAAGTCCAATATTCTTGGCTATTGTAATTGTTTCACTTTCTGAGGTTATGCCGTTAGTAACTTCGTACAGACATAGCAATTTCCCCTCATGAGTTGTCGTCTTCATTGTCTTATTGTGGTGAGAAGTCGCTTTTATTTAATGGTAGCGACTTACCAAGTATTGTACTCGTGGTCCAGACACTTGAAAGTGTTTCAAAATTCCATAGTTGTGGGTGGCTATGACAGCGAACGGACATTCTGCAAGGTTTAGGAGGAATTCAACTATGGCTGTTGTAAGTGCATTAAGTTCCAACTAAAACACGGTTTAAAAGTAATTAAGCAAGATACTAATTACACAAAATACCTTGTCAACTACACTAGCAAACTCATCCATCACCAGGAGTGTTCTCTTTGTTGGTGTTCGTAAAGCAACGGACACTGAGTGAAGAGCTGATATGTATGCTGAGCAATCATCTTCCTTCTCGGAGCCTGTACCTGTGAGTATGTATATTGCGTCAAGTGGTGAGATAACTGCCTCCTCAGCTGGTACATAACTTCCTATTTGTGTGAGGTATATTATTAAGACGATCTACAGGAGAACGAACGAAGTAATAAACTGTAGCGTGCAGAAATGTTTCGTAAACAGTTATTATGGCATAAATTTGTTAATGTGAATACAATCCTGTTTGATGTGCAGGGCCTAGTTTAAGTAAGTAAGTCCAAATAGTCAAGCTAAGTTTAGGACTGAAACACGAATCTGATATATTCGGCGAAACTAAGTAGAGTAAGTGACGGTAATTGAAATGCAGTGAGGTACTGTAACTCGCTCTGGAGCTTAACTGTTTGCCTCTCTTATCTTAAGTCTGTATTCATAGCAACTTTATGGATCCCTGTCAAACCTTCTTTTGATCGCCTTTTTTACAGTCTGACGTGTGCACATTTACTCACACACGACAGCCTACTTAAGGTAGCGAAGCTGTATTCGTCGTATCCTATTGTCTTCTGTGAATCGAAAGCGAGAAATACGGTTGTAGAAAATGAAAACAAATGATTTAGTGGACAGACATTTCCCAGCGACCTTATTACTAAGTTGTGCAATGGTATATATATGTATATATATATATATATACATTTCCATATATGAGATTGTACGATCAAATTGTAGCGAATTCGTTGGAGAGGTTCCTCTCAGGATCTCTTGTTTTCATTTTCTACAGATACAGTTGTCGTGAAGAAGACTGTAATTACTGCTTCAACGTTTGTATCAAGGTGAAGATTGTTCTTCCCAGCTGGGAATTGATATAGTCGCTAAAACCACTTTGATGTGATGAGACTACTTTGTTAAGTACACTACGGGGAGTATTACGTGAGTCTCTGTATTCTGTATCGCTGTTCTCTCCAAGTGAAAGTGACTAAATATTTTCTCCGAAGCGATGAGTTCTGAACGAAGTAGTCGTCTTCATTGATAACATCGCAAATGTTCTTGTCTATCTGATAAGCTAATACCACCTGTGGTGTTAACCACTTGTGTGAGAAGCATTACGTTGATAAATAGGATTACATTGATTACTTTCTTAGTCTGTTTGATTAGTGCATAAAGTTAGTCTTACCTGTTTGATGTATGTGCTTTTTCCACTACCATTTGGTCCAGTAAGGAAAGTGATTCTGTGCTTCAAAGCATCTGCATAGAATGAATTCTTGATAATGTTTTTGCATCGCGTTTCTTGTATTGGGTGACGCCCAGAACGGATGTGTATTAAGTCGTCTTCTGCTAACTTGGGTTTTTTCCAGTCCTTAGACTTGGCAGCTATCGCAAGTGAGCATAGACTGAAACAAATAGGTACAATTTCGGTATTTGTATTGCTCAATTTTGCGACTGTAGTACAAAACATATTCACGCTTATTAAATCTACTCTATATACGATTGATCTTGGTTTATGTGTTGGAAGAAAAGGAGAACTAACAGCTGGCTACCATGATCATGGTCTCTAGTTTGGTGACGCAAGAAGGATTCTAAGTTGGTTCACTTCTCCTTTTGACTGTTGGATGTGGTGCGTTTCTGTACCCACCTCAAGCGCCTCCAGGTTGTTGATTAATCATTCTAGTCACATGAATCTTAAGCTACACAATGAGTGATGTCGGTCACTCATCACGTCTCAACTGCTGAAATGTAGCCCGACTCAGGAAAGTAGTGGCTATGATACTGTATTTTCTACTGGTCAATGACTTAAGTAAAGTGACTTATGGAGTTTCACTGTCACAGTCCTCTACATACGTAAACGATGGTTTGTGTGTCTTGTAACTGGGAGATTTTTGTGATTATGTTGGATAAATTGTTCTGTCAGGCTACCAGCAAAATACCTGACGATTTGCAAATGTTCATCTTAATTTGAGTCCATGAATAGTTGAGAGGCTAGTTGCACCCGCTACTTTAGCATTCCGTGTCTGCCTCACTTTAACTTACTGAAAATATAAAACCTCCTGTTTATTAATGATGACCCGTCATGGCTTTTTAAGCATAGCCACATGTCCATATCAGTGTGTTATGGTTAGTTTGACACATTCTGTCAAATAACTACTTTATGAATCTGCTTGGCGTTATTTGGTTTTGGAAAGCCGTCAGAATTGATAAAGGGTAGAAAAATTGAACTTACCAATCAATTTCTGCGGAAAATTGTGATGCGCGAAGTAAGCTTTGTGCGTGAATTAGTAGGCGACGCTGCAGGTGCCGCATAATTGTGGTCTCCGTATCTAAAATTTTCGTGTGTGAAAGGAAAAGCAAATGTATTTAGTTAGAGTAGATATAGATGTAATACAGTGTTAAACTAATTTTTCATTAATTATCAAGTATGATTTTCTGATTAATCGCCTCGTAAACTTATTTTTCAGGTGGCTGAGGAGACGGCTCAAAGTGGTAAAGGTGACCAGGTGTCGTAGGCCCTTAACACTTTTATGTGCCGCATCGTGTTACATGTTGGCAGTCTTTTTATATCCGTTGCGAATGTGGTTTAATGACGTAGTCACTGCAGTATCGAAAAATAGATTGTGGATTGGAAAATTCACTTATTTACACCTCTGTAATCAGGAAATTTTAGCGGACCACTTACAACTAGTAGAGTCCTATTTCCTGGTACACGTATAAAGAAAGTGAAGTTTTATTGCCGTAGTGGAGTCTTGTACCACCATACTTTACACCGCACTTGATGTGGCAGATAGGTTATACTTCAGAGAGAAAGTAAAATGTAAACCAGCGGGTCGTATGATAGTCAAGTACCTGAGCGAACAAATCACGTTCATATACATATCTCACTTTGTTCCGTTGCACTGTTATACATTTTCATCTGGTTTGCATGGTTATCATCATGCTATAGGTGTTGGAAATACGGACTGTCATCTTGCAAAAACTTGCTGCAGTGTAAATTGTTCGCATTTCAGTGCCAACTTTATTTGTTGTTCCTGACAACTGATGATGTATGACTCAAATTAATTTTTGTTTTTTGGCATACACAGAAGAATTGGTTAATCAAAGCAGTATGGATTTTCACACGGATTATAAAGTTATTTTTTCATCTTAGTAGCAACGACAGAGTAGTAGAAATGCCGTCAAAGTATCATATTCCAGGTTGTAAAACTGATCAAACACTTAAGTAAATAAGTGAATAAAGCGTGAGTAGACAAAGTGTCACTAGGAAGGATCCTGGGAGACATCTTCACCACGACAACAGCATCCTGTGAGCTTCACTAAAATTGCTTGAAGTAACCTCCATCAGTGAGCTAAGTGAGAAGCGACAAACTTAGTTGTCGTCACACACACACGTGTTACGAAATTCCTATCGGTTTCGCTTATAACTTATATGGCTTTAAGTGACCCACAGGGATTAAAGTGCTTAAAGTAAGTCTCACTTAGTCACACATCTTGAGTATCTCATTCTAATTTGTAAATTATGGTCCGTAGAGAAAGCTCAACAAAATTTGAAAGAGAGTCAAGTTAAGATCAGTGTAGTGAGGAGTAGAATTGTAGTTGTGGGAAGGATGAAACTCACGTACCAAGTGTTGTGACAAGTCAAGTCCATTGTGGGTCCAGTGACCGAAGAAACCTATGTGTGTAGTCCAAATGTTAAGTCGTGAACTATGTGTGCGGACGGAGTTTTCCCAGTCACGGAACCTACAATGAGCTTAATTTGTGTCAACACTTAACACGTTAGCTTCGTAAATTCTAATCTTATTTTATCACTTCTAACCCTTCATGCTAACACAATTCCACGGCTGATGACACTGTTCTTAACTTGACCACCTTGCAATTTTAGTTTACCTATACTCAATCCTTTTCCCCAAGTTGCGTCACTCAATTCACTTATTTAATTTAATTTCAGTTTGTAGCCGATCGCTTTCTGTATCGCGTAACCGTTGTTAACATCTTACGATTTTATTGTTACATTGTTGAAGAGATTCCTTTTGTTGCTATGATAGTGTACTCTGTATATATGCGATTGTACAGCTTGAGAATGAAATCACTGAATAGAGTAACTCTTCGCTGAACGCCTCTTCTTTTATGTGACTTAATGGGGATTTTTGAGCCACTACTCACAAAATGTAATGCTGAAAAATTCTGTTATGTCATAATCAAGTCAAGTAATTCAGCGTGTACTGCTTGCTAGCTATTGTGAATGTTTCTATATGGTTGTGCTCACGGATGTTAATGCAGAGTGTCGCTTTGCATAGTAGACAGGGGTGAAGTCTATTCAAGACTACTAACATTTAATGATGAGGAACGAACTGATTACCGTTTTCCATTCAGCATATATTGGTGTTCAGCAAGAACAAATCACGGTGACATCGTTCGACGCAAAACACGTGTGTATTTTTTCTTAATTGAATCGTACCATGTGGATTTCAATACTTGACGACTAGCTTAAAATAGGCGTAGCTCCTTTCCTTGATCTTTAGAGATAAGCGTTGGCAATTTAACGAATCAACACAAACTGAAATAGCTGTGGCATTCAGTGCAAACCGAATTATAATCATTCCTGATAAAGGATAATAGCTTAGACTTGAAAATTGCAGTTAGAGCGCGGCAACACCAAGTGTTTTAGTATTAGCTACCTGAAGCCCTTTTTGATGTTTGGGAAACTGAAGAACCCAATTCAGGCTGTTGATAAAGGAATAAAATTTAGGCACTGTGGTGAAGTGCAATTCCTGCGTGTAATGATTTATCCAGTAAAAACAGTGATGTAGGCTTTTGTGTTGCTCATAATAATATCAAGGTGCTCACATAAGTCTCAATCTTTGTACACTTTATTATTCCTTATCGTTTGATTTTATTGGTGGTAATGTTTTCTATATCTCTAGTGCCGGCGTTGCGTCATTCCTATTGTATGTGTTAAGGTGTGTGGATTCGATGAAGGTTTCAACGACCAACTTCTCCTACCGGCTAATTATATTGGCTGTCAGAACTGTAGGTCTGTCCCACCC